ATCTGTGAACGTAGAGTGTGAATGATCTACATTGGATTACTCTCTGAAAGCAAAGAGCACACAGAGAAACCCCAGGGCTGCTGCTGCCTCAGGCAAAATGCTGATTCCTCACAGCTCTAAGTGGAAAAGGACCAACGATGCAAAGCATCCACAAACCCACAACAGACAATTAATGTTTGGGAATCGGGAGTGCCCACGATCTTCCCAATGTGCATAAACACCTGAAGGGGGGAGTGAAGAAGACAGTCAGACTCATCTCAGTGGCGCCCAGTGACATGACAAGACGCAATGGGCACACATTAAAACACAGGAAATTCCACTGAAGCATAAAAAAAATAAAATAAAAAAGTCTTTTTTACTGTGAGGGTGGCAAGCACTGGAAAGCGTTGCCTGTCTGGGGTCTCCATCCTTGGAGCTACTCACAGACCGACTGCCCGGCGCAGCTTGCCCTGGGTAGCCTTGCTTTGGGCAGGGGGTGGGCTGGAGACCTCCAGAGGTGCCTCTCCACCTTGGCCATCATTGAGCTCAGCACAGCTCACAACCAAGCATTAAATACAGTACTGAGGAGGCCACCTAGGCAAAGCCAAGCTGCAGGCTAAAAACGTGCTAAGGAACAGAGTGCTCTCTAATCACGTTTGTTCACAGTGCATCCCTTGTTTCTCACCTTCTGTCTAGGAGAGACATTAATTGGGGGTAAGGAACTGCTTATTTACATTCGCACAATAAAGCCATGGCTCATAGGCACAGAAAAATCACCATCCCTGCACTTCATCCAGGCCCAATCACTCCTCATGTTTCCAAAAAAAGCACTCCTTGCTTTCCTAAACAAGGGTTTTGTCCATGGTTATCAAAAATCCCTAAGACAGCTCTACTGAAAGGAGCAGCAGTGGCAGACGGTGGTACAACAGCATCCAGGAGACCTCTAGCATTTACCCCACGGATACCAGGTCCTACCTCCAAGGAAGGAGAGACGTCAGTCTGCACAGTGTTTCCTCCACTGCTACTGCAAAAGGAGCTGTGCTGCCAAGAGCAGCAATGAGAAATTTTAAGCTAAAATTTAGAGAAGCAAGACCACGCAAACACACTGATCTCCAAAAACCCTTCCACCACTCACAGAGCATCTGTTAGCAGCCTGACCAAGCCTACAGCTGAGAAACTTGGAGAGGTGAAATAAAAAGAGCAAGAAGCCCCCAAGCTGAACAGCTGGAGGTGACGCAACAAAATCCCATTTCCCCTGTTATTTGGTCCTAAGAACGGTCACTGAAAACCAGCCTGGAACGGCACATCCTGCTCTGGCCACCTTCCCAGCACAGTGCATCACATCTAGCAGTCAGGAAGTAAAATCGCTGTGATAGAAAAATACTGTTGGAAGTATCCTTGCCCTGTAAGGGCACAGAATCGCTTTTATTCTTTACACACCATCACCAGCACGTAGGGAACGGATGGGCAGGGGGGAAATCAAAGACCCCATACACCACCAGACCAAAGAAACAAACTGCATGAAACAAGAAAAAATAACAAACCACAAGAGGAAGAGGGTGGAAAGGGGAGGTGCAGAGGGAGTCAAAGAAATGCAATTATTAGACAGAAGTCATAAATCAGCAGCCCTTTGTGGATTATAGGAAAGAGGACAATACCGAAACACCGGCGGATTAATCCCTGCGCCTACTGAAGGGCACCGAGACTGCCTCTGACTTCACAAAACCTTGGCTGACCACTAACACAGCAGAGCTTTCCCAATACATAGGTTCCTTTCTTTACTCTTTGCTTTTAATGGCTTTGGTCTAATAGAAATAAAACCTACGAGAAAACTCAAGGCTTTGGGTTTTTTTGTTGGCAGTGACTAAGGAAAACCATGCAGTCAGGTAACATGAGCGAAAATCCATCTTGGAGAAGCGCAATGGAGCTCCTTAGGAAAATAAGGACTAGCTAATATTTCAGATGATGTCACGCAGTTTAAATTCCTTTCATCCACAATAGCAGAAAGGAAAAAAAAAAAAAAAGAAAATCATCATTTTAACACAGATGGATCTATGACATGGCAGATGAATGAGAAACCAAGGTGCACACAGGAGACAGAGGCAGACACACGAAATCCACCCCTGGCATAATGCCATCGAGAACACACCTGGGAGGAAAGTACTGACAGTACCCTGTCTGATGGACCATTTAAAATAAGTTTTCTCTTGCTTTCCAAGAAAACAGCGACACTTACCTTCCTGCATGCACAATCAGTGCAAGATGGGGCGAGGGGGGGTTATTTTTACAGAGGCAGATCCCCCTTTTAGAGCTCCCAGCTGAATACCTTGCTCATGCCGACAAGAACAAGCATCGCTTCATCAAGGCTGTATTTACAATCCACCATTAAAAAAATAAAAATAAAATACAAACGCAGCTATCTCCACCATCAGTTACGATTAATCTTATCACTAGCTGGCATTTCTACCACATCCCTGGCCATTACAGAGAAGATGTTATTTGGTCTTACTTGTTTAATGTCCCTTCCTCTGGTTCGAACGCACCAGCCGGTTGCTAGGGCTATGCTGTTCACTTTTCAGTAGGTGGAGATTTTTTATTTTTATTTTTGAATGACATACAAACCCTCCGGCTACAGTGCTTGTGAAGATGTATTCCAAACGGCTTACAGAGAAAACAAAACACTGCCCTGCAAATAAATCCAAGGAAAGCTAGAAAAAATCAAGGGGCTTTGTGAATGGGAACTGCAGTCTGCTGGATGCAATCAGGAAGGCTGCCTGAATATGGATTTCAAAATCAGATATTTAATTAAGATGGCAGACTTAAAAAAAAAAAAAGTGCTTAAACATTTTACATATGTAGGAAATTATAGTTTCCCCACCCAGAGACACTCTCTTTCCTAGATCAAACAACACACGGACAGGCATCTAGGGGCAACATCTTCAAGCCTTTTTTTTTTTTTTTTATTTTGAGGTGGTCTCATTCTGGACGTCCACCTGCAAAACACACCATGCTTTAAAACCCAGAGGTTCGCAGAGCTGAAGAGAATCAGCTGCCTGCTAGCAGGTCCGAAGGCCAAAAGGACACACCGTGCCCCGCATGCAACCTCTCCGGGGAAGGGCAGGGGCTGGCCTTTCGTCCCACTTGCCTTCCTCTTTGTGCACATGCTCTGCAAATGCTCAGCGTTTGGAAAGAAAGCATCAGCTACAGATTATTTTTATGATATGATGCAATAAGATGGATGACGTGAGTTTCCCAGCTCTCCCATTCCTACATAACACTCCTTAAATTAGGAAATTTTG